CAAATGATGTTGAAAAATATTTCCATTTCTTGACGAATAGTACTAATTCAATTATATTTTGCAGCTATCTCTTCGGAGCCTGGTAAGTTATGGTAACTATTAGTAAAGTTAGCGTGCGCGTTGTTGTTACATTAAATTATTATGAACATGAAATCGAATTAGTGTTCAAAGTGATAGACGTAAAAAGATAAGAAAATGATTTGACACGGCTGGCTGATGAAAGATATATTTATAGAAAATAATAGGTTAATGTAAATATCTTCAAAGGTTCTAAAATATGCTTCACAGATACAATTGTTTGAAGATGTTATAAATGATTTTACTTGAACGCTTTTATGTATATATTTGTGTCAAGGAGGTTCAAGGTATAAAAAGAGTAATATCATAAGTGTTGAAAGATAGAACTTAAAGTTTATAGTTTTAACGAAAAGTAATCCAGGTTACTATTATAATAAAAGAAAAGAATAAGAGGAATACGCTTGAATAAGACAGCATCCCAACTAGAAAAAGAATAACTTAATAGTTTATACAGGGCAACGTACAGTCGTCAAAAATATATATGTGTCTATACAATATCTTTAGTTTTGAATCAGACTATAAAAGTTGTCAATACAATACATTTTTGAATTACCCAATTCTAAAGTAACACAAAATATTAAAATGTTACATAAGACATCCCAATGACGAATATGTGTTTTTCCTCAAGATATGTAATTGAATATGTTGCGGTTTGAAATAGTGTTTTTTACATCTTAATTTGCTTTTTTATGTAGTTTTCAAATTTTTTAAGATCTTTGTTTACTACACGGTATGGGTTTTGCTCATTGTTGCCGTATGGCGACCTGTGATTATTCATATCTTTTTTCTTTGATCTATTGATAGTTGTCTCTTTTGCGATAATAACACATTTCCTTACTGTAACATGAATATGATGCCGATTTAAACAATTTTTTAGATCTCAATTCACACAAACAAAGATGTTTTTAGTTTCCTTTTTGAGAAAATTTAAACGCCATAGTTTGTTTTAAGTTTTACTGTTGAAATGTCCACAGTTTTGCTTGGTTTAAGTTTTACTGTTGCCATCTCCACAGTTTGCTTGGTTAAGTTTCACTATTGCCATGTCCACAGTTTTGCTTGGTTTAAGTTTCACTATTGCCATGTCCACAGTTTTGCTTGGTTTAAGTTTTACTGTTGCCATGTTCACAGTTTTGCTCTGTTTAAGTTTCACAATTGCCATGTCCACAGTTTTGCTTGGTTTAAGTTTCACTATTGCCATGTCCAGTATTATTACATTTTTTTTAAATCTGAATGAAGGTTTTCACTTGTCAAAACCTCTGGTGACTTCGATTATCAGAATGATCTGAAATGTATGACCATTTTTCGGAAAATGCTCTATATCATTTCTAGTTCCCGGGACAGCACATTTTATTTTTTTAGATCCTCATAAAATTCAAATGAAGGTTTTCACTCATCAAAACCTTAAATGAGTTCGACAAAAAGAAAGAAAATGAAATGGAAGATATGTGTTTTTCCTCAGGGGATTGATATCACATATTTGTTGCCGGGATAGCATCCCCATTTTTAGCTGAACCAGGTGAGCTATTATCATCACTTTGCAAACGCCGTGTCGTTAACTTTTAAAACAATTTCTTCTCTGAAACCAACGAACCAATTCTGACCAAACTTAAACTCAATGGTCCGTACGGTATCTAGAAAATAAAGTTCGCGTTATTCGTTTTGGTCAATCAATCAATATTGCCATCATGGCTAAATATAGAACAAAGGGGTAAAATGTATACATTATCAGGGGTGTTAAGTGGTCTAAGAAATTCATCTACTATATCGCTAGCCTAATATATATCACCACTAAGGTTGTGAGTTTGCACCCCGCACATGGCAGGTGCATTACACTGCCATCTTACTTGACTACGAATATTAGTTTTCCTGTCGAAGGACGGTAGTTCTATGCTAGCACTCCGGCTTTCACCAATGACAGCAGACCGTCACGATATAGCCAATAGTGCTGTAAGTGGAGTTAAATCAATCATTTACTATCTTATCTTGAACACCATAATAGTTAGAGAAAATTCTACATGGTAAAAATGCGTAGAATTTTTAAATCTACCTACTTGTTTTCACCATCATTATTAAATGACTCCATTTGGGATTTATTTCCCTTAAATAACAATTTTGTACTATTTTTCGTGGCTGCCTATGATCTCGAAAACTAGGTGAACGATTCAGGCTCTTATGAGCCCCTTGTTCATCTGACTCCTTTCAGACTCTTCGAAGCCTCTCGTTCATTAGATATAGGAAAATGTGGTATGAGTGACAATGAGACAACTCTCCATCCAAGTTACAATTTATAAAAGTAAACCATTATAGGTCAAGGTACGGCTTTCAACACGGAGCATTGGCTCACACCGAACAGCAAGCTATAAAGGGCCACCAAAAAAATTATTAGTTTAAAACCATTCAAACGGAAAAACCAACGGTCTTATCTATATAAAAACGAGAAACGAGAAACACGCATGAACTACATTAACAGATTAGACTCTTTTCAAATATGTAGGAAGGTTTCAACTTATCACAACCAGAATATCGCCCACAAATGTGACCAGATCCTTTTTGAATTCGATGACAGTTTATACTCCGATAAAAACACCATCAGGTCACTACTATAAGCTCTTTGTGTACGGCATTGGGAACATGTTTGTATGCGACCTTGCACAATGCAGGTATTTTTATTTGTGTACAGCATAGTGAAAGCGTCACTTGTTTTATCTTAAAAATGGAAAGAAGATACTAATTATAATGGCCAATCAAAAACTATTAGTGGAAGAAAAACAAACAACATTCGAGAACCCTTTGACATTACCGAATGTGAAAATTTGGAACAAAATGTTATCCTAGATATTGGACAGAAAAGATCGTTTATGTATATAGAGAAAACACATGTTGGCAATAAAATAGCACCTATAAACATAGAAAACTTATAGAAAAGCCATGCAAATCAAATTAAAAATTTTTCCACATATCATCTTTTTTGTTGAGCTGGAAATTAATATAAAGACTCACCAATAAAAATAAAAATCTGCTTCAAACAGACACACGAGGAGGAGTTGAATTCGAAACTGTTCATAATGTGTTCATTCTAATATCAAAAAGTGCAGTTACTAGTCATAAGCTTACTTTAACTGCGTTTGGTGTAAACATAATTGTCTCGGTGTGCTTGCTAGTGAGCTAGTGTTTGTTTTCGACAGTGACTTTTCGAAACCACTTTGCAATATTGTATTAAGTTTGTAACATTACAAGAATATTTGAAAACTCTTTCTATTCGTGGATATATGTGCAAGTTCGGAAAAAAATATCAAGTTTACCATGTTGACTGTTCAGCTTTAAAATTTCACTAGGCTTCGTAGAATTTCCATTGTTGACCTAGAAGGTGAAAAAAACAATTGATGACACACATGTGCAGGTATTAATTGTTTGTTTTTAATTGCCGATGCTGTAAACTATTAAAATTTATTTATTGTTACAGTCTTTTTTATGGATAGTTTAAAATAATCATTTACTTAGTGTTTTATTAAGTCAGTTTTGGCTGCACACCAATATTCTAACTTTGATTAAAATTCATATTGTTTTTGCATACTGAAGTAAATAATGATATATGATATAATTGTTTTTTAAAGGTAAACTAGTCCATGTCTATACAAAGCAAGTAGCCCAATCATTGTGTATTTTGAGCCTTTTTGACCTGACAATAATGTAGCCTCCATAAGTCGTCTTCACACTAAATCCATTGGATGTTGGATGTGTAATGATTGATACTTTAGTCTTAGATACATGATTTTTTTATTAGTTGTTATTGGCTTTTAACAAGCTGCCAGTAACTGCGAGTACTCTCAGATCTGTACTTGGTGTCCTTTTTGTTTTGGGGATGTATACATACCCTGCCACGTCCGGTCTGAGTTTTTGTTACTAGTACTTGTTTTTCTACTTTGTATCGATCTGATGAGTTAAGCGTTTTTCAACTGATTTGTATAGTTTGTTCATATGTTGTGCTGCTACACCACTGTCCCAGATTAGGGGAGCGTTGGGCGCCCGAAAACATGTTTAACCCCGCCACAGTCTGTATGTGCCTGTCCGAAGTCAGTAGCCTGTAATTCAAGGGCTGTCGTTTGTTGCTGTATATTATATTTGTTTTTTTTCGCTCATTGTTTTGTAAATAAATCAGGCGTTAGTTTTCTCGTTTGAGTTGTTTTACATTTGTTTTTTTTTTCAGGGCCTTTTATCGCTGACTATGCTGTATGGGTTTTGCTCTTTGTTGAAGGCCGTACGGTAACCTATAATTGTTAACGTCTATGTCATTTGGTCTCCTTTGGAAAGTTGTCTCATTGGCAATCATATCACATCTTCTTATTTTTTATATTCGTAAGTGCAGAAGTTATGTTTGTAAAAGGAGATTGCGAAAAAGGTGGTTATGGAATGAACATTCTAAATACAATCATTCCGAAAGGTTTGTGTAGACAGATGATACAGTCTTTCCTATTTTAAGAGATGTCTGTATTTGCAAAGCATTTCTTGCACGTCTCTTTTTATTGATATTTATGATACATTATATTTATAATTTGCTAACTTTCTTTGTCCAGATATATTAAGTAAGCGTCATTGAAACAGAAACACAAAATTAATGTAACATAACTTTAATGGTATCTACAGGTAACACCATGGTCTTTAATGAACACGTGATATATCTGACAGCTTAAAATAGCAAGTACCATTGATAGAATAATGCCAGACAAAATTATGTCAACAGAAAAGGAACATAAAGACAAAAAATAGTTCACCAAAGAATACAAATCACAATTTAGCATTTAGCAACACGAACCAAACTTAAAATCGGTCGACAACTCTGATGCCCCGGAAAGGAATTATATTACCCTCCCACTGTGATTAATCCGATGAGTAATAATTGCATATATAAAACTTTGAGAATGAACATAAATTTGCACATTGATCATAATTGTTTAGCTTCATCTATCTCTCACATATGTATCGCAACAACGATGTGCAAGGACGATCGTTCCATCGGTACGAGGCTGCTTTCCACAATTCAGCACAATCTTCACTTCCGCCAGCATTATCAGGCTGTCCGCCACCCCAGTTTGTGTAATCTACAGCTGTGTTATCAGAAGTCCAGCGCCATGTTCCTTCATGATGAATATCATGTGCACCAATCCTAAGTATATCGATGTTGTTGGCTGTAAGATAACATAGATTGCTTTCATACATAATGATCTTCAAAGATTTAATGACCAGAAAAAGCATATCATATAGTATTTTAATGAGAACTGTTTGTACCAAGTCTAATATAAAAATGTCTTTTAAATCTTACTATGATGTATTGGTTTTGCTCATTGTTGAAGGCCGTACGGTAACCAATAGTTACTAACTCTACGTCATTTGGTCTCTGTTGGAAAGTTGTCTCATTGGCAATAAGGATATTTTTAGATTAATCCTTATGATGTTGTCCAACAGTGCATATATATAGATTCTACCACTGCATCGAGTGTGATACGATATTTATCCACTCGAGACAGTTACATTTTCAAATTTAAAAACGCGAGGCTCGCCGAGCGTTTTAAATATTTTAAATTTAACAGTCGAGAGTGGATAAATATCGTATTACACGAGATGTGGTGGTGGAATCTGTTTCTCTAATGATTTTCAAACAATATGCAGGCAAACTTATTCCTTCTTTTCGAATGATCTGCAAAAAGATGTGTTCTTTCTATGTGACGTCATCAGGCATGGTCGTCTTTTTTCATGCCGTCACAATAGGAAATTCAGAGGAAAGCAAGATAATTCAACGTCATAATCGGATTTTAACCAATGAAGAACTGAGATCAAACGAACCACACGTTGTTTAATTATTTTTATCATATACTTGTATAAAATATTACTTAAATTTTACAGTCCAATAACATTTAAAAATATTAAAAGGCTATGAAAGGATTACTATGTTTATTGACCAGATTCCTAAGAATTTCCTCGGCGGGCTGATAAACGAACCTTTATTGACTGCTTCCGGAATGTTATCACATGCCTTTCCGTTAATGTCCGTGACGTTTATCACATGCAACTTCGTGCATTTTCGGAAATTTGTTAGAAAACGACAACACAGCGCGGAAAACCGCAAGTGATTTAAGACTTTTCACAAAATGATTGAGGAGCAAAAATGAATTAAGATTAATTAGATATAGGAAGATGTGGTATGAGTGCCAATGAGACAACTCTCCATCCAAGTTACAATTTATAAAAGTAAACCATTATAGGTCAAGGTACGGCCTTCAACACGGAGCATTGGCTCACAACGAACAGTAAGCTATAAAGGGCCCCAAAAAATTACTAGTGTAAAACCATTCAAACGGAAAAAACCAACGGTCTAATCTATTTAAAAACGAGAAACGAGAAACACGTATGAACTACATAAACAGACGACAACTACTGTTATCAGATTCCTGACTTAGGACAAGTGCAAACATTTGCAGCGGGATTAAACGTTTGAATGGTACCAAACCTTCTCCCATTTCTGAAACAATAGTATAACATCACAACATAGAAAAACACACTATAAAATATCGCTTGGAAGGCTTAACTCAATCAAAAAACGTAAATTAACACACAATGAACGAATAAATTTGACCTGTGACACCTGAATGCAAATACACAGTTAATAAAAAATTACAAGGGATAAATAATTAAAGTCAAAAGTAAATAAACAGGTTTAAACAAAGTTAAAGTATGATATCACTGTGAAATTTCAAACAATTTATAGAAAATCATCACTTTTGAAGAAACCTGCGTCATATTATACACAGGTAAATGAAAATAATTTTGTTGTTAAGTATACTTCTTAGATTAAACATGTTTTGAAAGACATGAATGAGATGCCAGAAATTGTCCTTGACAATTTAAAGGAAAAACTATGCACATGTTTTCGGGGCAACCATCACAGGAAAGGTGGAAGTATATGATAAAAAGATCATTACATGTCATTTTTCATATCAGACCCTTTATCGGCCCTCGTTCATGATATCAGCCCTCGAGCCTGCGGCTCTTGGGCTGATATCACGACCTAGGGCCGATAAAGGGTCTGATATGAAAAATGCCATGTAATAATCTATACTTATTCAATGGGTGCAGAAAGTGATAAATTGACGAAGAATTAGAGAAATATAGATTCTACCACTGCATCGAGTGTGATACGATATTTATCCACTCGAGACAGTTAAATTTTCAAATTTAATACGCGAGGCTCGCCGAGCGTTTTAAATATTTAAAATTTAACTGTCGAGAGTGGATAAATATAGTATTACTCGAGATTTGGTGGTGGAATCTGTTTCTCTAATGATTTTCAAGCAATACGCAGGCAAATTTGTTCCTTCTTTCGAATGATCTGCAAAACGATGTGTTCTTTCTATGTGACGTCATCAGGCATGGTCGCCTTTTTTCATGCCGTCACAATAGGAAATTCAGAGGAAAGCAAGAAAATTCGACGTCATAATCGGATTTTAACCAATGAAGAACTGAGATCAAACGAACCACACGTTGATTAAATTTTTTTTATACAATGGGTGCAGAAAGGGATAAATTGACGAAGAATTAGAGAAACGAGTTTATCATATACTTATAGAAAATAATGGTATAATTGTACCCCATGATAAAACTTATTTGTACATATATTTATTCATTAAATTTGAAGAATTGCCTTAGCCGTGTGATATGACTTTTGTTATCAACTGCTTCCGGTTTATATCAACTGCTTCCGTTTCATATCAACTGCTTCCGGTTATTATCGCATGCTTTTCTGTAACGTTATCGCATGACAGTTCGACGTCATTCGACAAATTCCGGAAAATGTACCTCAATGGTACGTTTTTTTTAGTAAAACATAACAAAGTTGGAGAAAAAGAAAATATTAATAATCAGGAAAATATATTATTAAAAAGTACAAAACAAATATTACAACAAATGCATTGCTTCAAAGTTTTACAAATAGTTTTGTCTGTATGTCTTCTGTTTAAGTATATGATAAAAAGAACATAACATGTCGTTTTTCATATCAGACCCCTTATCAGCCCATGGTCAAAATCATCCCTCAAGCCTGTCGGCTCTCGGGCTGATAACATGACCTAGGGCTGATAAGGGGTCTGATATGAAAAAAGGCCATGTTATAATCTATATATATCACCATTTTTGCCGATGATATCAGATTGTCGGAGCATTTTTTTTAACAGTCTGAAAGCGATAATAGCTAGATAAAAGCTATGAATAGCAAAGCAAATACAGCAGTTCAATATGTATGATTGAAACCATCAATTGACTCCTCGTAGGAGATATTGCACTGAACTGATCATTTCTGCTAGCAAGTTAAGCACTTTGGCCTATTATTTTTAAAAACTATTATAAATAGACAGAAACTGCACATTGAATAAAATATTACATGTAGCAATACGAGATCCTTAAAAATGCTTACTGCTCGGGGAAGGATATTTTTTTTGGGGGAGAGGTTATGTGGAACTCTTATACATAATTGTTTTGATGGAATCAGTATGACATATTTTATAAGATGAGTGATTCAGGAAGATAAGAAGATTTCGTATCTGTAAACTCACCATTCATTACAGTTTGAAGCCAGAGATTTTCTGAAGCGTCCTCTACTTTAACCAAGTAAGAACCTTTCCTCTGGCAATCAACCTGAAAAATAATGTACAATAATAATATGTGTGCCATTTGTTTATAAATATTGTTACAGTTACACGTTAACATATGTGTGGTGGTACACAGGCGACATTCCGAGCGAAAAAAAAGAGATGTATATTTAGGTATAATTCCATTTGTAAAAAATGCGGGTTGTTGATATAGCCTTGGTCGATTTCAAATTCTTGAAAAAAAAAACTGTTTTATAGAAGAGAAGTGAAAATAAAACAGTTTGTTTCCATTGAAAATGATGAACAAAGTAATCTTGTTCCTATATGTTATTGAACAAAAATTTTGTTTATTAAATTGTTTGTTCCGAGAAAGAAACTCATGCCCCATAAAAGATGAATGATTGGGACCTCATTAGGAATATTTTGATCCTCAGATCATCAGTTATAATGCCCCCAGCACTTTATATATAGATGACAGACTTATAAAGATTCATGCAAATCAGGGGGTAAAGACTAAAATGTGTCAATGTTTTGGACCCCTCGACAGCTGTAGTTGCAATAAGTTTACTGTAACAAGTGTGTGGTGTAGGTATTAGTGATGGTTGACACACATTGATTTTTGTTTTGTTTAAAAGGAATGAATTTACACTTTGATTAGAATACTTTACGTTTTGCCGGCTTATAAAACTCGCAATGCTAAAACTCTAATCCATCAACGTCATGTATAGTTGGGCTATTTACAATTTATCTCATCGTAACTCATTGTAATATAACATTATCTACCATATTCCACTTACTATAGAATCGTCCCATGTCTTTTTACCAGGTCCGATGTAGTAACAATGGCCTCCAAACTTTATCCATCCTTTCTTACATGGTCGTGACATTTCTGAGAAAGAACATATAATACATTCACTTAACTGAAATTTTATTTTAATAATTATAACACATTTTTTTTTATTATATTTACATATACTTTTTCTGTTTGGTTTGAAAATGTACACAGTTTTGGCTTTGACCAAAAGTTGTCATTAAACAAAATTTCCCGAGGATACCCAAAATATGTTTGTATGCCCCACCTAAGGGCATCATATTTTTCGGTCTGTGCGTCCGTTCGTTCGTCCGTCCGTTCGTCCGTCTGTCCCGCTTCAGGTTAAAGTTTTTGGTCAAGGTAGTTTTTGATGAAGTTGAAGTCCAATCAACTTGAAACTTAGTACACATGTTCCCTATGATATGATCTTTCTAATTTTAACGCCAAATGAGAGTTTTTACCCCAATTTCACGATCCACTGAACATAGAAAATGATAGTGCGAGCGATTCGATTGAAATGGTCCATTTATCAGACATTATAAATCTCTTGTAAATAGTAACGATTTATAGCTATCCATGAATATGTAAAGGCCCTGTCACACTAGACCAAGACCACGAAGATCCCACTACGATCTATAAAGAAATAAGATCGAGGCGAGATCGTGGTATGGTCCGTTTGAATATTCAATATTTCATAGTTTTCAAGTTCATACCACGACCTTGCTATGATCCTGATAAGATCCTGCTGCTATTCCGCTACGACAGTAACACGTTATAGTTACGACCATGTCACGCTCTTGCTACGTCTTCCAGAGATTTCCAATAAAACGACAGACGTACGCAACTCGACGTACGGACCTAATGGGACCGGTTATTGTCAACCTGAGAATTTTGTTAAATACGTCATTCAAGTTTAAAAAAAATATTCCAATACTACAAAAAACATAAACTTGAAATTTTGTCAATATCATATAATTTTGAGTTGATGGAAAATTAAAGAAATCGTGTATTTTTCATCATCACGTGATTCTCATAATTCCCACCCAAATTTTCATTGTCATAAGATAACGTATATACACGTATCCCTTACCTATCATACAATTGATTTGAGTTATAATTCATTGTCTTTTTTGTGACATTTTGTTTTACTAAACTTTGCAAATGAACGTTCCATGAGTGTGTGCATTTGCAGAAACGTCAGAAAGGATTCGTATAGAAGAAAGAATGTGTTCAGCTAAACCATTACTTCTTCCGAGTTTTATAGTGTTATAGCTCGCCGTAAAATTAGACGATCCTCTCTTTTTAAAAATAACTGAAACTAAATAACTATTAATACAAAAATAATTCACAATGAAGAAGAAACTTCAATAAATCGCATGAGCTTTTTCCCCTTTCAAGTATATAATGAAATTTATAGAAGAAATTAGGTCTTTCCACTTTTCCGTGGAAAGACCTATTGGTTTTGTTCTGAGATTTTATTTTTTTCTTCCGCCACATTTTGTTCTTGCGTAGTATTGTGGTTTTGCAAGATGTCGCTTAGATTTTTCGCATATGATATCGAACAGTTATTGCGCTTTTGGAACTGACCCTGTAAAACTGTACACTTTACGTTGTAAGAGTTATCTCCCCGAACACTGTTTTTCTTGTGCCCACTACTCCTTCGCAACCGTAAAAGATTACGACAAATTTATTTTACCAAAATGCTTCCTATATCTTCAAGATGATGAGTCGGTTTGCACCAAAGTTCTCCAGAGCCTCCATATGAGAGTTATTTCCCCTTATGCATTTGATATAAGTGATATGCATATAAACTCATAAACCGTAAGCCGTATAAACCTAGAGTCGCTTTATTGAAGGTCCTTGGATCTCAACTTAGAAAATAAGGTCAAGGTCAAAGGTCAAGGTCATGTTCTAAATGTTGACATTCACTTCAAACTGCTTTTACTCAGAAAAAAGTTAGGGGTAAAATTGAAAAAAATGTGAGCAAAATGTTAGTCGCGACATTATTTATGTCGTGAATATTTGTCGAACTAATGCGCGTAGTATTTTGGGGGTTTTCATGCCACTGAAATGGAAAAATCAACAAATTGACTAATTATAGCTTCAAACTTTACAGCTCTCATGATGCGTACATGCAATTTATCTTTGTAAATCATCCAATGCCCACAACTACCCATCTAGCCCCCCCCCCCCCTTTTTTTTTTTAGGAATCCCATTTCTATTTTATTATAAAAATGCTAATCCTTCTTTTTATATGAATAAATTTCTTTCTGAAATACAAATCTATTCCTGCAAAATAAAATATCTGCTCCAAATCATGTACATATATTTCTGAAAATTAATCGCTAGTACTATAGCTAACACCAGCATTATTTTTGTGTGCATGCAATGAATGAGTCGACCAGTGGTCAGCGATTGGACAATAGTTTACCTGTAAAAAAAATCGAAAAATATATTTTCCGTTAGCAGTATAAATCACGTGCAGTCCGCTTAACGTTCCAATCTGGATTGAGAAATTAATATCAATTACGTAGAATTATCTCCAAAGTTCGTAAATAGTAGTAAAATCCTAGAATCAAATGTCTAAACATGCATTAAAATGAAATCTGTGTTCCCGTAAATATGTGTACGAAAAAAGCATGCATGATCAGACTTCAATGACCTGTAAATGAAAGAAAATTAAATCCGTTTGCACATTCTTTATACATAGGTGTGGTCAGAACGACGTCTCTCTCTGCAACTGAATTAAATTCAGTGTATATCAATCAGCTTGGTGACGTCACAATCATGTCAACCATCCGGTGCAACGCCTGCTACCTAAAATAAAATAGGGGTTTCCCCCTTTTCGGAAAGAATTAATCACATAGGTTAAATACAAAAGATCCATGCAGGCCAGGTCGGGCTATTTTAAATACAAAATTGAACACAATGCACACACAAGAAGATCAATAAGTAAAAAATAAGTCACAAATTCCGGGAAGCACTATAAAAAAAAGAACATTTATAAAGGAAGATGCAAGGATATTTTTGAAGGCCTGTTTAAATCCTTGCATGTTCCTACAAATATCATAACTTTTATATAGCTAAAATGTTGCACGGACCCGTTTTCGTGTGCTCCTAGAGCCTAGGTCTCAAGTGTTTGAACACGGGCACTAGGCTCTCAATGCCTTTTTCACATGTTCATAGAGGCTAGGTCTCGAGTGTTTAAACACGGGCACTAGGCTCTCAATGCCTTTTTCACGTGTTCATAGAGGCTAGGTCTCAAGTGTTTAAACACGAGCACTGGGCTCTAAATGCCTTTTTCAAGTGTTCCTAGAGGCTAGGTCTCAAGTGTTTAAACACGAGCACTAGGCTCTAAATGCCTTTTTCACGTGTTCCTAGAGGCTAGGTCTCGAGTGTTTAAACACGGGCACTAGGCTCTCAATGCCTTTTTCACGTGTTCCGTGTTTAAACACGGGCACTAGACTCTCAATTCCCTTTTTGCGTTGTCCTAGTGGATCGGCCCCATGTGTTTAACCAACCAACCAAACCACCTACCTACCAACCAACCAACCATTACATGCTTGTTGTGGTCCCTTGTGTTTAATACAGGTCCAATATCTCATTTGTTTCGTGTTTGCTTGTTTCAAGCGACCCTATCTCACGGGTGTAATAAGTCAATAAATAAATCAATCAATCAATCAATCAATCAATCAATCAATCAATCAATCCATCCATCAATTAATCAATCAATCAATCAATCATGTTTCGGAGGGGAAAGACCGTTAACAATTGTTTTTAAAACAATTGATTTATATTTTCTTATATAGATTGTATTTAATAAGGTGTGCTCGATTAGGGATTATAGCGATTGGTTTTGTTTAATCTGAATGACAGTTTAAAATGCTATAATATGAATCAAAATACACACGACATTTCATCTTTTATATGCAAATGTTATTTTATCCTTTTTATTGATATACAATTAATAGGCATCATTGAATTGACTTATACTGCATATATAATTGAAAGACTTTTGTCATAAGTAAGAAACATTCAAATACAATAAGATAATACGATTTCAATGTACAGTGCAGTTACCATGGCTAGCTATTGTTTGCCTTCTCGTTGATGTTTGTTTTGCACTTCAAATTAGACAAGTTCTTATTGAGGTACCCTCTTTAAATAAAGAAGTTATTATTATTATCAGTGCAAAAGATCACAGTTTTTTGCAAGGCGAAATATTGACAGAGTGCACATGTAGGAACATAAGTGTTCATTACAATATATAGTTTAAATATAAAGTACGCATAACTTGCCAGCAAATAATACCTGATGATTTATTTATGATTAGGTGATGGACATTGAAAATACACATACATGTGACGTTACGCACAATGTTGATGACGTTTTCTGATGTTATGTACCTGTAACCAAAAATCGGCTTTAAATAAGAAAAATACCAGAAAGATGATGTGTCATTTTGTGTAAAAGTTCTTTAAAGCACTTTAGAATTTAAATTACAGACGGCTTATCGTTTTTTATTCTGTTTTGTTAATCAGCTGTCCGAATACTAACGAGAAAAATCTTATATTTTCGTGTAGACGGGTAACATACTAATGTTGTTCTTCGAGTATTCCTCCTATTGTCGGGTATTACAATTATATAAAATGTAACACTGCTATACTATTTGGAAGAGGAAAGGTAGAGCTTTTAGAAGATATGTGTGTAAGACGTAAATAACGCAATTTTCGGACAGGGCAGGTCTCGAAATTAGCCATTATTGATTGTAGACAGCCAGGAAAATTTCACTCCCTTACGACACAACAGTTTTGAATCCATGTATAGCGAGGGCATTGTGTTTTCAAATTTATGATAGCGCATATCCTTTTGTAAAACAAATTTGGAAAATCTTTGAAAGCAAAGAAATCCCATGTAATAGAGAAAATCCCATGAAAACTTCGACATCGTTACCAAAAACATAGCCCAATGTACACTGACACAAGAACGTTTAAAAAACGCTGTTCTATAAAAGAAATATCAATATCGAGTAAAAGTGTTCAAAGCATTTCATCTAGTCAGAAAATGTAACATGCCTC